CCGCGGGATCCCCCCAATCCCAGGGGATTCCCCATTCCCAGAATTTCCTAAATCCCGCGGGATCCCCCCAATCCCAGGGGATTCCCCATTCCCAGGGGATCTGGGATCCATTCACAGGGATCCTCCCATTCCCAAGAGATCCCCCCAATCCCAGGGGATTCCCAATCCCAGAATCCCCCAATTCCCACGGGATCCCCAGATCCCAGGATCCCCTAAACCCCAGGGGATTTGGGATCCCGGATCCCAGGGGATCCCCCAAATCCCACAGGAGCCCCACATCCCAGGGGATCCCCCATTCCCAGGATCCCTAAATCCCAGGAGATCCCAAATCCCAGAGGATCCCTCATTCCCAGAATCCCCCCAATCCCAGGGGATTCCCAATCCCAGAATCCCCCAAATCCCCCAGGATCCCACAAATCCCGGGGGATCCCCGAATCCCAGGGGATTCCACATTCCCAAGGGATTTAGGATCCATTCCCATTCCCAAGGGATCCCCCAGATCCCAGGATCCCCCCAAATCCCAGGGGATTCCCAATCCCAGAATCCCCCAAATCCCCCAGGATCCCCAAGCCCCAGGATCCCGCCATTCCCAGGGGATTTGGGATCCACTCTTAGGGGATCCCCAGATCCCACAGGAGCCCCCAGATCCCAGGGGATTCCCATTCCCAGGGGATCCCCCATTCCCAGGATCCCAAATCCCAAGGGATCCCCCAAATCCCAGGATCCCCCAACCCGCCAGGGACTTTAGGAAGGATCCCAGATTCTGGGGGTGGATCCCAGATTCCCAGGGGATGGATCCCAGATTCCCGGGGGATGGATCCCAGATTCCCAGTGATTGATCCCAGACTCCCGGGAGGTGGATCCCAGATTCCCAGGAGGTGAATCCCAGATTCCCGGGGTGGATCCCACATTCCTGGGGGATGGATCCCAGATTCCCAGGGGATGGATCCCAGATTCCCGGGGTGGATCCCAGATTCCCGGGATGGATCCCAGATTCCCAGGGGTGGATCCCATATTCACAGGGGATGTATCCCAGATTCCCGGGGGTGGATCCCGGATTCCCGGGAGGCGGATCCCAGATTCCCAGTGATTGATCCCAGATTCCCGGGGCGGATCCCAGATTCCCAGTGATTGATCCCAGATTCCCGGGGGTGGATCCCAGATTCCCAGGGATCCCCGGGTTCCCGACCTCTCTCCTGGACGCGGCGCAGGTCGAGGTTGACGGGGAGCCGATCCTGTGGGATCGGGGGGGTCAGGGATCCCGAATTCCCGGGAATTCCCGGGAAACCCCCAGGGGGTTGGGAACGCTGGGAACGGATCCCAGCGGATCCCAGGAAAACAACGGGATCGGGGACGGTCCCGGAGCGAGGGATCCCGCTGGATGCTGGAAAAGCTCCCCGGGATTTCCCAGTTCTTCGGGATCCCATTCCGGATCCTCGGCTGATCCCGATCCCGATCCCGACTCCGATCCCGATCCCGATCCTGATCCCAATCCTGATCCCGATCCCGATCCCAGTCTTGATCCCAACCCTGATCCCGGTCTTGATCCCATCCTAATCCCGATCCCATTCCCAATCCTGATCCCAATTTCCCAATCCTGATCCTGATCCAGATCCCGATCCCAACCCTGATCCCGGTCTTGATCCCATCCCATCCTAATCCCAATCCCAATCCCAATCCCAACCCCGATCCCAATCCCAATCCTGACCCCCAATCCCAATCCCGATCCCAATCCCGATCCTCTCCTAATCTTGATCCTGATCCAAATCCCAACCCCAATCCCATTCTGAGCCTGATCCTAATTCCAGCCCCAATCCCAATCCCGATCCCATCCCAACCCCATCCCAATCCCAATCCCAATCCTCTCCTAATCTTGATCCTGATCCTAATTCCAGCCCCAATCCTATCCCAATCCCAATCCCGATCCCGATCCCAATCCCGATCCCATTCCCAATCCTGATTCCAACCCAAATCCCAATCCCAATCCTGACCCCAAATCCCAACTCTTACCTCGATCCCAATCCCAATCCCAATCCCAATCCCAATCCCAATCCCAATCCCCTCCTAATCTTGATTCTAATCCTAATTCCGGCCCCAATCCCAATCCTGACCCTGATCCTGATCCCAATCCTGACCCCAAATCCCAATCCCAATCCCAATCCCAATCCTGATCCCATTCCCAATCCTTACCTCAATCCCAATCCCAACCCCATCTCAAATCCCAATCCCAATCCCCAAACCCATCCCAGTCCCGACCCCAATCCTGAGTCCCCATCCCGATCCTGATCCCAAATCCCGAATCCCAACCCCGATCCTGATCCTGACTCAAATCCTGATCCTGACCTTGATCCCATTCCTGATCCTGATCCCAAACCCCAAATCCCAAACCCCAAATCCCGAAAACCCCAAATCCCAAATCCCAAATCCCAAATCCC